TTGCACTTATGGAAATAAAGGGCACAAAACATAGGTCATGAATGTTTTTGTAATAATGCAATCTTTATATTTTTGCAAATATATTGTTTAAAAGATTATAAACTGGTTACATGTAATAAACTGTTTTGAATTGTAATAAATAATAATTCCACATATTTCTGACATTTTTGCATATTAATTAGAGGCATTGTACTACAGGTCAATCTAATGTTATACATTGTATAATTACAAACCAAACACAGAACAGGTCAATTCATCGTCAGAAAGGCTTTTTTATTGTGGCGAAAACAGGTCACAAAAACTTGTGGTTGTTGTATATGATCTTTTGTTCTGAACCTTTGAAAAATATGTCACACAAATAAGTGAAATAGCATATATTAACCATTTGTTCTGTAACCACTGACATCCTTGAAAACAATGTCTGCACACAAATAAGCAATCAAAACCGACCAATCTGTAAAGCTTTTAATTATGTTTATTCAATAGATTGATAACTTTATAAACGAGGTAAATGACACTTGGAATCAGGATAATCACATGTTTGTTTATATAATGTTCTACAGATAAACTTTGCTAGCAGCTAGCAAGTGAATAAGGCCAGAGTTGATGCATACAGCAGTGGAATTGTACCAACATATCACCCACCTGTATATATGTACACCAAGTCATCACAGGGTTAAATAATCAAAACTGGAATAAACATATCACTACACTTCAGGTTAAAATATTCTCAAATGTTTGGGATATGTTTAAAATAAGCATGAAAATTTTAAAACATTCATATGTATAAATTCACTAATAGTCCTTGACATACTTGATTAACAAAGGGCTAGGCAAGATAATTCTCACCTGGTGAATTTATACAAAGATATCTGTCTTTCACATTTTCTTTTTAATTTTAGTAAATTTATACAGTAAGGTAGCGAGAAGCTCTACATATACATTTATAATATTACAGAGAAATTTTCTCCTAAAAGACTTCCAACAGGAGTTATGTCCAAAACATGATAGGTAAATGTATAGTAATTTGCTACAGACCTGATGATTCATTTCAACAAGTCATGAAATGATACAATTGCACTAACATTCACAACCAGGGGTAAATAAAACTTTGTCATAGTATATAAAGTAGTACAGTTAAAAGACTTCAAGGAATATTTTTCTACATTCCTCTTACATCCATCCTCTCAATACCACCTTTCCTCTATTAGTTTAAATTTGGAAATTCTAATTAAAAATTAAACTCTGAAAATAATATAATGACACAATAAAAGTAAAATTCAAATGCACTTTTAAAGATGGCCGACGTGATGACAACCATTTTTGCCTTGTAAGCACTTGGTGTGACTTCCATTATATCATATCATATGCAGTATAATTTTAAAAACAGGAAATGACAGTCATAAATGAAAACAAATAATTGCATATACTTTAAGCCATAAACACAATAATAAAACATATACATTACAAGCTAAATACAGCTATATTAAAAAATTCAATTATTAAATATTCAAAATCCATGTGTCTTTAATTTGTAATAAAACAACAATTGCACAGGGTAAGCAAGTAATTGACAGAGATGTCATCAAACTTCTCCCTGATGACTATTAACGTTTAAAATCATAAGACTGTTCAGACAGAGTCCTATGTTCCACGCTGAACTTTCTTTAGAAATATGGGCACCTGTATGTTATGCATGAACAACAACTAGACTAAAATAGTGTCATACAGAACCTCAGGTAAATCTAGGAGTTTCATAATTCTGTGTTCCCTACCTGTGGCAGTTTGTGATTCTCAGTAAGCTGAGAAATAGACCAGTCTGTGCTGACCTGGTTGTGTCCTTAGCCAAGACACTTTACCCTAATTGATCAGGCCCCACTTGTATAAAACATCTCAACTTGGGATTTCCTCAAGTCGAGATTTTCCTAAGCTGATATCTCCTCAAAAACGGCCTGTATAAAATTTTCTCAAAGAACAGGAGGAAGGCATCTGCTAGGATGTCCTGAAATTCCTTGCGGAATTTTCATACAAGATATTTTCAAGGAGATATTAGCTGATGAAAATGTGGGCTTGAGGAAATCTGAAATTGAGATATTTTATACAAGTGGGGCCAGGATGGCATGTGATGGGCCTCCTGTCTGTTGTTCAGTGAAGTAGCCACCAGCTACTTCACAGAAATCCTGCCTCAAAATGACCCTAGCTGTTCACAAAATAATAAACCTAGCAAACCAAACACATGACAAAAACTGAAGGAGCATTTAGATATAAAGTCTTAATTCATTTACTGTGTATAGAAACGGGAAGCAGGCTCTAAGTTAGACCAGGATGACCAATTGTGTTCAATTTCACATGGAGTAAACATAACAGATTTCCATGCATGATACTTAATTCAGTATTTATCTACTTGTAGTAACTTTATGGTTACTCTAACCTAAGATGCTGTACATATGAATACTGATTTGTCTAATTTATTGTCAATATAATTCTAAGATATAAGTGTAAGTGGTCATCTTTCCTGGCCAGACCATCCTGGCTCATTTTAGCTTAATAAACATGTTACAAGCTCAAGTAGCACCATTAAAATCATAGTCAAAACAATACAGTTTCCTTACCAGAGTTTTGATGAACAGATGCTTGGTTTGTGGTGTACAATATTTTTATTTTTTTGTTTAAAACATAAAAAAAGAAAGAAAATATTGCAATTTTGTGGTTTTACAAAAATAAACATTTCAGTAGGCACTTTCATGGATAACTCTTGCTCTGAAAATCCACTTGTACTAAAACTCATGTCCATATTTTTTCATTTCATGGATATATTAATTCATGGATTAAGATCTATAGTAACCATGAATTCAACAAAATTACCTAACTGATTTCACAGTATGAGAAATAAATCTATTTAGTCCATAATTGTACAACATTATTTTTGTAATTTACTTCAGCAGGTGCAATATTCATATTTCTGTTTACATACAAAATGGTGACTGTTCAAGTGGAAAACAGTCATGGATTGTACTGGAAAAACAGTGCAGCAATCGAAGGAAAAATCAGAGATTCTGGAGCTGATTTAAAGTACAAGTACAAGCTATATTATTTATGATTTTGTGTACATTCTGGCTACCAGACACCTGTCCATCAAAATGTCTAAATTCTGGTTGTTGATTCAAAGGAATTAACAAAAGCCTACTCAAACAAACAGAGTTGAGGATAAAAATGAAGACTTTTATGAAGTATAAATGGAAAAAAGGCAAACAAACAAACAAACAAACAAACACCTTTTGCTTTCATGAGGTATAGAAATTGTAAATTGGACCCATAACACCATATTGATTAAACAACAGAAGCATATAACAGTAATGGAAACCAAATCTACAGCTTGCAGTTATCATAATAGTGATAGTTACACACAACTTGAATATCTCCATCTTCGATATTACAAGAAAAAATTTAACAATCTGATTGAATATTCGACGTTTTCCCTTAACACTGAAATACATATATCTATGTATACTGAAATAAAGATATTGATTTGGATAAAACACTTTCACAAAAAAAAAAAAAAAAGTTTAATGAGCAAATTTATCTGAGCACCTCTGTAAGTGAATTCACATGCAGTTGTACAAGCATATATAAACATTTTTGTTCATTATTTATCTCATTAGGAAGGGATAAATCGCAACATACTCAAGCGTCACCAGTTTAGAGGTTGATTTATTGTCGACTAGTTTCACCTCCCTCCCGGCCTCAGCCTGTTTAAGGAGGACCTTTATCTAAGCGACTTCTCAGTAGACAGTAGCTCAACCCATGAAATAATCAACCATAGAGATCTAGCTTATCTATCCGAATCAACTCACACTATCTGTCTTGACGAAAAGCCAGCAGAGGATAATAACAACCAGAGAGAACCAGTCTACTTATCCCAATCCCCTCACACTATTTGTCTAGACGAGAAGCCAGCAGCAGAAATCAACCATGAACATGGATTTAAATTTCTAACTTTTGTTTCACTACCTTACATAGAAATGAACTTAGCTTTGTTATTATGTAACATAACTGTTTCGTTGTAAATCACGTCAAAGTTAAATATGATCCTCCCAGAAGGTACTTCAGGGAAGTTTTTTGTAATAAAAATTGTCCTGATGAAGCCTCCGCAAGGGAGGCGAAACTCGTCAACAATAAATCAACCTCTAAACTGGTAACATTTGAGTATGTTGCGATTAATTATCCCGTCCTAACTTCTAGTTTTTGTTTAATTGCCCTTCATACCATTAGGTATCCATACTCACAGCGAAGTACCAACAGAATAAACCCACCTATATATACCTGACGTTGGCTCCCTCATCTTGAAGTTTCTATATTTATTTCATATTGTTATATAATATACATGATATATATATATATAATCAGTGAAGTAATGGCAACAGTATGGACAAGAAAAATTGTCAAATTTTCGAGGCAACCTGCCTCATTATCAAGATACAAATATAACATAAATTACATCACATACATTGAACGTAAAACAAATACAAAGTTATAAATCTAAATTGAGAGTGGTGGTGTAAATTTAGGTGTCTCAATAATCCCTTCAGCCGATAGACGTCGAAGCCTTTAAAACAGACAAAAAAACCATCCAAATTGTTGCATGTTAGATGACGATTAAAATATCAAATATATATATAAAGTTTTAATTTCTCAGTGACCAGTTATATATTGAAATAAAAAAAAAATTGGAAACACTTCTGATCAGTAAAGCATAAGAGATTTTACATCAAATCTTCAGACCTTTTACAATTAATTTTGCGATATCTTCTGCTTCCATTGGTTGGAAGGATTTCAAGACACCTAAATTTACAAGGTAACTTTTTTTTTTAATTTATCAACCTAAAGCAACAGAACTGAAGTTAAAATCATCACAACTAACAAAATAATACTGGTTCAAGTTAAATAACTTTACTTATATACTAAATGTTAATGGTTTTTATATACAAATCAAATGCTGAACATTAAAATTAACAATTTATTATTTCTATGAGTAAAATAACAAATTCTAATCATCATTAAGGCAATCATTCCTCATACCGATATATTCTATTTATAGGGAAAAAAATGATGCTGGTGTATATGATCTACTCCTGGTACACTCCACTGTAAATAATCTAAATTCATATAAAAACAACAACTTACTTTTAAATAACAAAATGACAGTTTGATGACGAACAGCGATTGCAACATTATAACATAAGCCAACACATGTACATATCAACCCTTTGTATGTGGTGATCTACCACGTTTTACAGTAGCCAAATTATAATTTTTCAACACATGTACATTGGTTTTAAAGGTTGTCTCATTTGATATTTTAAAGCACACTTAAAAGCTTTATACATCTCCCTATTATATCTCTTACACATAACATACATAGCAATGTGTAACTACAATAGAAGAAAAAAAAAAGAACTGAGTTATTCAAAGTTGGAGGGTTGTATTCAGCAGTAAATTTGGTACCAGACTTTGAGGGATAAGATTATCTTTCACTAAATCCTGCAGTTTGGTTTTTATATTAAGTCCAAGAATTTTACGAACTCTTAAAGTTGACACATGACGTAATGACGGTACATTCTGCACATGGTCAGTGAGGAGTTCTTCAAACTTCACTTCATCCAATGCCTTGCAGATGTTTAGAAGATTGTTAAAGTCAAACTTTGCTCCAGCCTTGACCATAACACTTAGGATGTCAATGTCTTTGACCATCTGAGCAGTCACCTCAGGGCTACAGTAAGGTGGGTAGTCCATCGGGCAGTTCTCTTGAAGTAAGATTTTCACAAGTGGCAGTGAAATGTTTTTGATTGCATGGAATAGAGGATTCTCACGAAGTATTAGGTCAAGGGTCAATTTGGCACCCAGCTTCAGGAGTAAAAGTGTCATGTCTGTGTCACTATTGGAGATTGCCAAAGTGAGAAGTGAATGCTTTGATTCTGTACGCATATTAACATCACCCCCATGTGCCACCAGCATGGGTAGAATCTTCATGTTATGCTCTGTGACGGCAAGCCAAAGTGGTGTTGTGTGGTACATATCCATCACATTGGGATCAGCATTGTACCTTAGCAGATGTTTCACACTCAGGTCATCACTTTTTGAAACAGCAATGTGAAGAGGAGTACGCCCAGGGGATGTGGAAACTTTAGTGTCAGCACCAGCTTTCAGTAATGTCTCAACTGTATCATGCCGTATCTGATTCTGACACATTACACGGAGTAAAGGGCTATTGCCTTCTTTGCATATAGCGTTGACATTGGCTCCAGCTTTGACTAGAATCTCGGTCAGGTCTCTATCCTTGATAACCGCTACATGCAATGGACTGATTCCTGAATCAGGACTCAGATTCACATCACAGCCAGCACTGACCAGTAGTTTCACCACTGTCAGATAACTTTTTTTGTACTGGTGGCGGAAATGAAAAAGGGCTTTAATCAGGGGAGTTACGCCATGATTGTTCCTGACATCTTTACAATCTGGATTCTGTTCGAGGAATAGTTGAACAGCGTGGTGGTTACCAGATTTACATGCAATATGTATAGCTAGATCTCCAAGTCTGTTTCCTTGCATCACATCTGCATCGTACTTCAACAGAAGTTGCATGATTTCAATACTTTTGGATTTTTCTTCCTTGTGCTGCTCAGATAGAATGTGTATTGCACGACAGCCAAGGTGCCAGGGTTGGATACAACTTCTCCCCATAAAGATATGATTCACATCCACCTTTTTCTGCTCCAACAAAGCCTCTATCACGTTGATGTCCTTTTCCAAGATAGCTTGGTAAAATTCTCGTGAGTCAGGAGACTTCACATTCATTGCCATAGTCATTTGAAGAACATGATTTTTAATATCAAATTTATCTGGATCATTTGTGTCATCCAGACCAATACCAGTGTATGGGCATTTACTAGAAATATCTCCCTCTTCCACAGGAACATCCATATTTTCTGCCATTGTTTTTTTTTGCTTATTTCTACTTAAGATCTGATTCACCACAGAAATTTGCGTATCCTCTATACAAACAGTCTTTTCTAAACTGACTCCCCTCCCAGTAAACAGACTAAGTTTAGATTTGTGTCGACTTCATACAAAGTTTAAAAGTTATCTCACATCACCAGATGTACAGCATGAAATATTGTGTTGACTCAGCTAACAGTTGTCAAGCACCATTTCAACAGTCAAAAGCCTTCATGGATACCCTGTCAAAAGGAGGAGATCGTCTTAGAAAATTATATCAAGTTTAGATGTTAAAGTTTTTCTTCAACAAACAAAATTTCAATTTGCATGAATTTCATCAAAATACTACGAGTTCAATTCTTTTTCATTACATTATAGAAACTGCTATAGGAATTTCCTCTCACATGTAGTCAATATTACAAGTTTTGTACTTAATTCAAACAAATATGACTTGTACTTTCATATTCTCTTCTTAAACTAGAAGATCTCCTATTTAGACCATTTGACAAGGTTGCATTTAACACAGATTAAGCATGTTTTCAATCTATTTTTCCTTAGAAAAACCAGAATTATATGCCATGTGGTATGCTGACCAAACTTTACCTGACCTCTAGTCTATCTACACTATGTGCCAAATTTGAACCATTTACAAGATATATTTCTAATTACAATTATTCAACACCTGGTATTAAAACTAGGAGTCCTGACTCTTTTAACAACCCTTAGCACAACAAACATCCTCATTAACTCAATAAGGTCAATTAGATAATCGTAATAGTAATGTATAATATTACCATGAAAAGATAAAGTATTTCTTTTACATTGCACTTACATGTCGCTTTTTATCGAAGCTGTCATAAAACAATTTGGAGAAAACTTCTCCTGCTTCACTTGCTTGTTCAACTTTCGTCTGGAAATCCTGTATGAAGAAAAAATCGTCAATAACTTGGCTGAATTAATTTAAACTATTCCTAATATACTATTTAGAAAAACAAAGCATTTGTACAGAATTTTCTTCTGAAATGATATTTAATCAGTGATTCAATATATATATTTCCTACCTACACATAGACGGACTTAGTCAAACGTGTTTGAACCCCAGCACTATCCTAAATGGTAAAGTCTTGTGATCGCTATATTTAGATCTTGATAATAAATCACAAGACCAATTGCAATAATTATTCATTAATATGAAGACAGTCGTTCGATTGACTATAAAAAGAATATGACTAGTGTCGTTAACTGATTACGGTTGTGTAACTCCTTGTGGCTGTTGAGGATTTATCTTTTATCAACAGTAAACATGCAGTAAGCCTTTGCCAGCATTTGGATAACGAAATTCTGTAAGATTAAAGATCAGGATAAATAAGCAGGCCTAAACTGAGAAATTAGGCAATTCTTGCAAATATTGTTTCAAATCTGCACAAAGTGCCTTACCGCTGCCATTTTCTTGTAACTTCGGCTTTCCTCTATACTTATTAATGACGGAAATACTATCCGAATGTGTTTGAGTTTAATTTTAAAAACGTAACAATATCATAACTCCGGATTAAAAGCCTTTTGGCGTTTTAAGCAAATTAATGAAGACAATGAAATCTATAATTGTTTCTAAAAATATTTTTAAGAAATTACATCCTGATAAATAAAACATTTGTAGGAAAGATTTTCCCATAGATTCACCAAGCCGGAAAATATAATCCCGTGTCCGAATTCAGTTATTCAACGTTTAACAACTTCTGGGGTTCGTTCGACGCACGTGTGTCAGTTTCCAGATAGACAACACAGTACTTTTTTGATGGAGAAACAATGTCGGACGTGACACTAGAGATACCAAGCAAAATGAAGTCGGTTTTGATAGGTAATACAACTGACATTGTAATTGGAAAAAACACTTCACTACAAGTTACTGCTGCAAGCAGCTCCTGAGAGTCAATCTGCTAGTCTGTAAATGAGAATGATTGCCAGTTATTATATTCCCAGCCAAATAACAGGCATTGTGTATAATTAATTGATTTTTTAACTAGTTATGTCGGGACTTTTAATTACTTCTTTACATGTAGTTTCACATGAAATCGTAGTTACTGCTAAAGCTTCAGTATGGGTGTATAATTAAATTAGGTGCAAGCGCCTGTGTTGACAGCTGTAACATACTATGTACATCATACATTGTAGGTATGTATATGTGGCTGACAGGCGAAAAATCATTATGCTCTGTATTATGGTTAATATCATAAACGTGTAGCAGAACTGGGCTGGGTCAAACTTTGTTCGTTTAGAGTTCAAAGTGTTATGTGTTTGAAGCCAGGTCTGGCCATGGATATGTCTTTTTTATTTTGACTTCACATTATATCACACAATAGAAGTCAGTTCACAATATCAGCCACTTAGTGTTTGTGACTTCACATTATATCACACAATAGAAGTCGGTTCACAATATCAGCCACTTAGTGTTTGTGACTTCACATTATATCACACAATAGAAGTCAGTTCACAATATCAGCCACTTAGTGTTTGTGACTTCACATTATATCACACAATAGAAGTCGGTTCACAATATCAGCCACTTAGTGTTTGTGACTTCACATTATATCACACAATAGAAGTCGGTTCACAATATCAGCCACTTAGTGTTTGTGACTTCACATTATATCACACAATAGAAGTCGGTTCACAATATCAGCCACTTAGTGTTTGTGACTTCACATTATATCACACAATAGAAGTCAGTTCACAATATCAGCCACTTAGTGTTTGTGACTTCACATTATATCACACAATAGAAGTCGGTTTACAATATCAGCCACTTAGTGTTTGTGACTTCACATTATATCACACAATAGAAGTCGGTTCACAATATCAGCCACTTAGTGTTTGTGACTTCACATTATATCACACAATAGAAGTCGGTTCACAATATCAGCCACTTAGTGTTTGTGACTTCACATTATATCACACAATAGAAGTCGGTTCACAATATCAGCCACTTAGTGTTTGTGACTTCACATTATATCACACAATAGAAGTCGGTTCACAATATCAGCCACTTAGTGTTTGTGACTTCACATTATATCACACAATAGAAGTCAGTTCACAATATCAGCCACTTAGTGTTTGTGACTTCACATTATATCACACAATAGAAGTCGGTTCACAATATCAGTCACTTAGTGTTTTATATCTTTATAGTGGTTCACTCGTAAACACACTACGCACATTTAATACTTACACACACACATAAATACTCGTACAGATACATGTTTACACACAATAAACACATTCAATACATTAAATTATACAAAAATATACTTCATTAACATACTTTCATATCACAGAATCTAATAGGTAGCGAAATGAAAGTGAAGACAAAAAAGCAGAAAAACGCTAGATATTGCTAACCTAAAGGAAAGGAAGAAATGAGAAGGTTGGTGATGTGAGATATGGGGGTTGTTTTGTTTGCTGTTTTGCTTGAAGAATGTCAAGGATAATTAGGTGAAAACATTCAGATATCAAGTTGAATTAGGTTTTTCACTTTACTCCAGGTATTACTAAATTTTCTTTCGAAATGTCATTTTTTACTCTTTGTTATATACTTATGTAAGTTATTCAGTAAGTAATACGTTGTAGGGAGCACCAGACAACACCTTGGCAGATTACCAGTAGAATTTTATACTTACTGTTTGTATTACATAAGTTATTGTAAGCTTTCATGTGTTTGACTAAAGCATTGATATTTAAAGACTTAATAAGATATATGTTTCTTTAAATATATTGTTTAATGATAAGAATTATCTTGCACATTCCTGCTTGTATATAGGACTATGCATATATAGTAATAACAGATGAGTATGCTTATACATTAATGAAGCTGTATTGTTCAATACAACTTTTTTTGCAGCCAACTTCACAAATGGCCATGTTAATAAAAAGAGATGTGATGATCTTTCTGTAGGACACTTTGAGTCCTCACAGAGACGTTTCGGCACCCAAAAGAGAAAACAAATATTGGTAGGTAAAACAAGACAAGAAGTTGCTGGTAAGAAGCTGTCATAGACAATGCCTTGGCTATAAGGATGGAAAGATTGAAAAACGCAATAACTCCTTATGTAGCAGCTAAAAGGGAGGTCACTGATTGTAAGTGATAATATACAGACACAAGTGGTACATGAAGATGTGAAATGATAGGCACTGTCAGTGAGAATATAATAGGGTATTATTTATAAACAACAGGAGACCAAAATAGACATTAAAGCACAATGATAGAGATATAACTGTTTCTAATGCCACTGCACTTTGTCATAGACTTGGATTAAACATAGTCTTCAAAAAACATGAATTACTGAAGGTCTAACTTAATCATGTTCAGATCTTTTGAAACCAAATCTGAAACTGCGTGTTGTGTTTTCAGTATTGGTGATACATATTGGTCTAGTTTATTTTGTTCTTCATCTTGCAGAAACACTTGAAACAGTGGCCTTTATAAACTATCTTTGTTCCTATGTTATTTTATAGGTAGCAGAAACGGAACAAATGTCATATGTTGGTCAGAACTTTGGAGTGTCTGCGGATAGGTCACAAAATTTCTGCAAGTAAGTAAAATTGACAATGAACTCTGAATCCTAGGCAATCTAAAGGAGTCACAATGTTAAATTCTAGATCAATAAATACACGTACCACCACACATCAGAAAAAAAACTTAGGAGAAATGGGACATTTTCAACAATCGTTAGTGTGTAAAATATGGTGGGACATCCTTTGTAGGATTGTAAGAAGTAGAAAATGGAACGTTCAGCTTAAGGTTTGAAGGGTTCTTTGGCTTTTGCCAGGAATACCTTGATACAGTTTTACTTGATACTTACATAGAATGCAAATATCTGTACAAGTATTTTAAGGTTGTATTCTGTAATGCATGCACCATAATTTTTTTATCCTACCACTAACTGTAACCAGGACATGGTGGTTCAAATGGTCATAATGGACACTGGTAGTTTACATTTCCGATTTCATGGAAATGAATTTTGGAACTTCTGATTGATTTTAATGTTAGAAAGATGGAAATATACTTGTAAATGGTCAGAATTTAATGTTGTCAAGAAGTTCTCATGAGGTACATATGATGTGACAATAAATTCATGTACTAGTTAACAGCCTGCCAATATGATATCATATTGCTGTTTAGAAAAATTATAAACCATAGGTATTTCATGTCCTGTGAAAAACCCACCCGCTGACTTTGAGTGAGAAGTATTGGTCTCTGGACTTAATTGGTAAGTCACATTACTTACAAGCTTCTCAAAATCCTTGTATTGGCTAGATGGCACACAAGACTCAAGTCTTATCATTGTTAAAATGATACCTGTCTTGTTCAAGTTTGTGAGTAAGGCCATGGCATCTGTTTACACTTCTATGCAATATACTGTTTATGGTGTGTAACAGGTACTACGTTGGACTGAGAGACAAAAGCACTGGAAAAATGACAATCTGTGATGCTGAGATCTTCAATATGTTACCAAAACTACCAGGTAAACAAAAAGCTGCTTATTAGCCCTTGGAAAAAATGTACTGTTTGAACTTTTTTTGGATCATTACAGGATCTGAAGTACCAGTAATTTGTTTACTTAGTATATTATTTCAACACAAGTCTTTGCATTCAAGGTAGAAAGCAGAATTAGTGCACAGGCAATTCAATCTAAGAGGTCATGATTTTGTGTTATGTTGAAAAAATTATGAGATTTCAATATATTGTTACGTTAGTATATTCAATATCACCATTTTCATGCAAGATGTCGACAACTGACAGACAAACTCACCATACAGAGTTTCAAGAGATGCAGATTGATGAAAATGATTGGGAAGTTTATGGTCATCTTAATGATCTCATTTGTAAATATTCTACTTCCTGGTGTGATGTAAGTTGGATGTGTTTGATGATCATTAGTATGCCTTTTGGATGAATTGTTGTTTATTTGTTCTCATCGGGAAATGTGACATTACTTACTTGGATTGACCAAGATAGTGGATGAAGTAGAAAATGCTTACTCTTCTGAAACACATGGTCTTACTCTCCTTGTAATTTTTCAGGAGTCACTTTTGTTCATATTTTGCCCTACTTTTAGTGAATTTATGTCTGTTGACTTGTTACTCTGTTGTTTTTGAATACTTGAATGAAATTTACATACAGAGCTGTTAACACTATGTAAAATTTAGCCAGTCGCAAAATTTAAGGTGTTAAAATCAGAAGATATTTACTATTGTTTTGTCATGAACTTATATGACATGTGTAAAACTGAATTGACTACTCTAGGTGATGAACAAGAAGAAGAGAAGAAGGATGACTTATCTCTGAGCTTTCGAGAGAAGGTTTGTCTTAACAAAGACTTTTATGTGTCTACATACCCTGTATATAGCTGTTCAGTTGAGATTTCTTTTGATAAAGAATCGTTGATGAGCTTTCTAGCTGCCTATGTCAAGTTCACTTTTGCCAGTAAGAAAATTGCCTGCATTGGTACTGGTCATTGCTAAGTACCAGTTTTGTAACCAAAGTATTTACTATTTTTAAAAATCTGTGTGCCAAAATATGGGGATCTTTCAAATGAAATATGTCTGTTTGTGACCTTGGCAAGAATAGGTTGATGATCAGTAGCTCTCAGCCAAGAAGGGTTAGACAGCTTTAATGCTAATGAAAAGATACAAATCTGCACATGTACATGAAACTGTATTACTTTTATGGGAAGTTCATGAATAATTGCAGTGTTTCAGTCATTCTTTTATTTCTAACTTAGAATGACTTCCTTACGGAGGCTTTTGGAAGTAAGAAGAAACAGAAGGCCATGGAAAATCGTTTGAGGAACAAATCTGCGGCTAAGTCGATGGAGACCATCATGGACTCTGCAGCTAAACAGGCACTTTCACAGCAATCACAAGTAGCAAGGCCCCAAGGTATGTACAAATACTGATAAAGTAGAAAAAAAATCAAGATAGAGGTCCTGTCACAGTTTTCATGTGAACACAGGCCCACGGTATGTAGCGTTATTTGAATATGTTTGTTTATGAGAATCGGATAAGTATCGGGCCAGCCTAAGTTCTTTTTTCAGATCCAATTGATATGTTTTAAACCAGGTTTATTTTGTGAGACACAAAATAACAATATCTTACTTACAGTAAATTTGCGCGTATAGTGCACACTTTTTTAGGTAAAAACTGTCATGTCAAAAAGGGAGTGCATACACAGGGACATGCCATTCTTGAGGTTATCATTCTAGAATTCTCTGGTCCGCCATATTGGATTATCTCCCTTCAGATAGTTATAACAATCATTTATCAAAGATAAAAACAACAAAGAATAAGATCAATTTTGAATATTTTAATACAAATGAGTTTCACCATTATTTATATAAAAAAACATTTGTCATCATCCCACTCACACAGCAACTTACATAGCATGATCACACGCGCACACACACACACACACACACACACACACACACACACACACACGAACACACCTAGGCACGTACACACACACGGCAAATGGAAATTAAAAACACAAGTTTACAATAGCACTACAAACAGGTACTGTGATAGGTACTTACACTCGTAGTTTTCTCGTTGTCATGGTAATAGAGGTTGTAGTCATGCTCCATGTCAACATCAACGGTGATCTACTATCACGGGTAGAAACAGTCTCATCTTTCCATAGAATGTCATAAATGCTGCCGTAAATGATGTTCTTTGCTTCCCAATGTCAACGTTGATGTAAGCAATCTAGCATTAAATATCTTCAGATACTGCAATGGGTACAGATACCATGAAAGGTCATACCAGTACTGAACAAATCACCTGCTTTTATGGGGATGAGGTAGGATTGAAAATTTTCAGACTTAAAACGTCATTGTTTTCTGACCAATAGCACATGTTCAGCCGAGGGCAGATGTCATCAATCTCCTCATACTCAGCATGTCACTTGTTAATAACCTTTATTTATCTAATTAGCATAGCCTGTGTGAATTTGTTTGCATAAGGTAATTAAATGAGTCAGGGTCACCCTCATTGTGGTTTCCTAATTATCAATCTAAATATCAACTGTGGCACTGTGATAATTGGTAATTAAAAAATATCTTCTTTTTTTTTCTAAATATGACCCCAAAAACATACCTGTGCACTATACCTGCAAAATTACGGTAAGTCTTTGAAGTGTAAGAATTGAGAGCATGTTATGTAACATTTTCTGTATGAAGATTCACTTGTTCAATATTCGTCATCCATTCTAAGGTGGATATTAGACACAGGGACTTTAATCAAGTTACACGCCTATTATACAGTACACACAGTGGTTATTTGTTGCCTTACATTAGATAATATGAACACAGGACATTTATTAATTGATATCAAAGGAAACAGGAAAGTTTGATTACAGCCAGATATCAGTACTACCATTGTCATTTCCACAGGGACTTGAATCAAAGTTGCCACAAAGGTTATGCACAAGAAAACAGTTTTGTTTCTGGGCCCCGTAGTCAAGGTTCTCATATTATTTATATGATATTGTTGATTTATTTTCATATGAGGGAGTTGGAAATTTTACCTGAAAATTCAATTGCATACTTCATTAAGACTGAAGCGAATATGATGTATGGTGTATCTTCAATGAAGATAAGACTTGTAGCTTGTGTACATTGTATATTAGCAAGAATAACCATTTAATTAGCACAGATGCAACCTCATCTGATATTTTTTAAACTCACTGAAGTTTGCTCCTTCAAAATTGACTTGAAATTTTGTTCCAGATTGCTCCGTTGAGTTATTCTTTTTTAGATAAATATGGTAGCCAAATAAAATGAGTAGATTCTGGGGCCAGTGTTCGTTACTTCCCTTCATTGAATTAGATATCTGGTATTTTCTTAACTGAGTCAATTTTTGGGTCAGTATTTATAAGAACCTATCACTGAATTAGATTTCTGCCATTTTCCCACACTGAGTCAATTTTGGGGTCAGTATTCCTTAGTTCCCTTCTCAGAACTAGGAAAGGAAATTCAAATTTTTCTTGTTTCAGTTGAAGATCAGACAGATGGCATCCCACCATGTAACAAGGAAGCTACATCCCCACGTGAGGTCTACAGACTGCACGACAGTAAGTGTGATACAAGCAGTTAGATCTAAACAGTAAAATGTTCCTCGTCTGGTTTGTGACCAGTTGTATGCTTTATCTATCGGACCATAATCTCGGGGATTCATTATTTAATTTTTATGTCTGTCTGTGAATCCATCCTCAGATAAATTACCAATTTGTCAATTCTCCTGGACAGTGAATCCTTTCAGTCCCCTAGTGAGGAATGTCAGGGAATTGATATAAGGATGTTCCTGTACATAACATACATCATTGTTGTTAGCAAGTATATCTTGACCAAGTTCAAATCTTGGAGTTCTTGGGTAAAAGTCAAAATCATTGCTACTTTTTTTCCAAAAATTTTCTTTCTTGGCAATCCAGCAGTATCCTTCCTCTAGGTATTTTGTCAAATTTCAGACCAGTTTAGTAGGAAGATACATGTACTTCATTTAAAAGTGCCATTGTTGAAATTCATATATATGTCTTTCATCACAACTATTTAATTTCTTTTAGATTTACACATGGTTGAATATTGACCTAAAGGATTTTCAGATAGATTAATTTGCTATCATTTGACTTGATCTTTAATAGCAATTAACATTGACCTTATATAGTTATCAGTCCAAGTGAGATGGAGGCCCTCAATGCTCCTGCCCGTTTATTCTTTGACTCAACTTATGACCAAGTCAGACAGTGGAAGGAACAGCAAACGTATGTATGACAATAATGCCCCCATTTTATTTACTATAAAGTAATTAATTTTTGTGAGAGTTTTATGTTTGTTTATTTGGTGGGTCCTGTAATCTACAAATTCCTGGGACCTTGAACTGTCAAAATTATAAACTATAATTATCCTTGAAATAGTAATTTTTTCCGAAAAACACAAAAATTGAGCTCCACAAAAATAGGATTGTACAGCATCTAATGTCTTGAAAGGATGGAAGTTGACTCATTGTGAAATTTACATTAAAATCTTTGTATCCTGCGAGATTTTGAACATGTGATTGAACATTATAAGCTTTATCTGCTTTGAACTGGCAACGCAACTGGCAAAATGTATTTTAGATATTTTGAATAAGTTCTTTTCCTAGAATTCAAATGAATTTGTACAAATCAGTCTTCTTTGCAGTCTGTTTCTATGGAATCTTTATTGAATAAAAGTGGAAACCAGGAAGACGATTTCAGATTATTTGTTTGAAACATATTTATACAAAAAACAAATGTTGCCTAAGAAACAATGACTGTCTACTATGATGTAACTTTAGTTAAAACAAGCTGATTTCATGAACGATGTTACATCCCCTTCCAGATATCCAGCGTATATCACAAATCACCTGATGACCATGCCCTTGTCTGAGGCGGAACGATGGAAAAGGTCGAAATGTCTTATGTATCTTCATTACCTGATCACACTCAACAACCTTAATACACGCACGATAGGACTTAAAGGTTTGTTATTAAAAACCCTATATATTAAACTGAAATGTTACAATCTTCATCTATCCATATTTCAGAAAATAGCCGGAAACAAAGTACTATTATGTGTGACTCATGTTCTGACCATTGATTGGTTCATTTATATTGCTTTCAGCTGTTGTAGATCTGTTACCTGTATGGTGATGACATCTGTGTATAATATATATGTCTGTTGTAGATCTGTTACCTGTATGGTGATGACATCTGTGTATAATATATATGTCTGTTGTAGATCTGTTACCTGTATGGTGATGACATCTGTGTATAATATATATAATATATATGACATCTGTGTATAATATATATGTCTGTGTTGTAGATCTGTTACCTGTATGGTGATGACATCTGTGTATAATATATATGTGTTGTAATATATGGTGATGACATCTGTGTATAATATATATGTCTGTTGTAGATCTGTTACCTGTATGGTGATGACATCTGTGTATAATATATATGTCTGTTGTAGATCTGTTACCTGTATGGTGATGACATCTGTGTATAATATATATGTCTGTTGTAGATCTGTTACCTGTATGGTGATGACATCTGTGTATAATATATATATGTCTGTATGGTGTGTGTATAATATATCTGTGTACCTGTATGGTGATGACATCTGTGTATAATATATATGTCTGTTGTAGATCTGTTACCTGTATGGTGATGACATCTGTGTATAATATATATGTCTGTTGTAGATCTGTTACCTGTATGGTGATGACATCTGTGTATAATATATATGTCTGTGTTGTAGATCTGTTACCTGTATGGTGATGACATCTGTGTTTAATATATATGTCTGTGTTGTAGATCTGTTACCTGTATGGTGATGACATCTGTGTATAATATATATGTCTATGTTGTAGATCTGTTACCTGTATGGTGATGACATCTGTGTATAATATATATGTCTGTTGTAGATCTGTTACCTGTATGGTGATGACATCTGTGTATAATATATATGTCTGTGTTGTAGATCTGTTACCTGTATGGTGATGACATCTGTATATAATATATATGTCTGTTGTAGATCTGTTACCTGTATGGTGATGACATCTGTGTATAATATATATGTCTGTTGTAGATCTGTTGACATCTGTGTATAATATATATGTCTGTTGTAGATCTGTTACCTGTATGGTGATGACATCTGTGTATAATATATATGTCTGTTGTAGATATGTTACCTGTATGGTGATGACATCTGTGTATAATATATATGTCTGTTGTAGATCTGTTACCTGTATGGTGATGACATCTGTGTATAATATATATGTCTGTTGTAGTATGGTGATGACATCTGTGTATAATATATATGTGTGTTGTGATCTTACCTGTATGGTGATGACATCTGTGTATAATATATATGTATGGTGATGACATCTGTGTATAATATATATGTTGTAGATATGTTACCTGTATGGTGATGACATCTGTGTATAATATATATGTCTGTTGTAGATCTGTTACCTGTATGGTGATGACATCTGTGTATAATATATATGTCTGTTGTAGATCTGTTGCCTGTATGGTAATGACATCTGTGTATAATATATATGTCTATGTTGTAGATCTGTATAATATATACTGTTGTAGATATGTTACCTATGACATCTGTGTGATGACATCTGTGTATAATATATATGTCTGTTGTAGATCTGTTACCTGTATGGTGATGACATCTGTGTATAATATATATGTCTGTGTTGTAGATCTGTTGCCTGTATGGTGATGGCATCTGTGTATAATATATATGTCTATGTTGTAGATCTGTTACCTGTATGGTGATGACATCTGTGTATAATATATATGTCTGTTGATGACATCTGTGTATAATATATAGATCTGTTACCTGTATGGTGATGACATCTGTGTATATATATATATATATGTCTGTATGGTGATGTTGTATAATATATAGATATGTTACCTGTATGGTGATGACATCTGTGTATAATTTATATGTCTGTTGTAGTTCTGTGACCTGTATGGTGATGCCATCTGTGTATAATATATATGTCTGTTGTAGATCTGTTACCTGTATGGTGATGACATCTGTGTATAATATATATGTCTGTTGTAGTTACCTGTATGGTATGACATCTGTGTATAATATATATGTCTCTGTTGTAGATCTGTTACCTGTATGGTGATGACATCTGTGTATATATATATATGTCTGTTGTAGATCTGTTACCTGTATGGTGATGACATCTGTGTATAATATATATGTCTGTTGTAGATCTGTTACCTGTATGGTGATGACATCTGTGTATAATATATATGTCTGTTGTAATATATATGACATCTGTGTATAATATATATGTCTGTTGTTGTAGTATAATATATATCTGTCTGTTACCTGTATGGTGATGACATCTGTGTATAATATATATGTCTGTATAATATATGTTGTATCTGTGTATAATATAGATCTGTTACCTGTATGGTGATGACATCTGTGTTTAATATATATGTCTGTGTTGTAGATCTGTTACCTGTATGGTGATGACATCTGTGTATAATATATATGTCTGTTGTAGATCTGTTACCTGTATGGTGATGCCATCTGTGTATAATATATATGTCTATGTTGTAGATCTGTTACTTGTATGGTGATGCCATCTGTGTATAATATATATGTCTGTTGTAGATCTGTTACCTGTATGGTGATGACATCTGTGTATAATATATATGTCTGTTGTAGTTCTGTTGCCTGTATGGTGATGGCATCTGTGTATAATATATATGTCTATGTTGTAGATCTGTGACCTGTATGGTGATGACATCTGTGTATAATATATATGTCTGTTGTAGATCTGTTACCTGTATGGTGATGACATCTGTGTATAATATATATGTCTGTTGTAGATATGTTACCTGTATGGTGATGACATCTGTGTATAATATATATGTCTGTTGTAGATCTGTGACCTGTATGGTGATGACATGCGTGTATTATATGAAGTTTTATATTTGTAGTTCCTTTACCTGTTGAATGGCCTGGGGTTGTGATTGAACAGTTACTAAAGAGGTTCACAATGAAGATAGACTCTGGTGGGCGGATAAGAAGGTGAGTTGTGATTTTTTAATATGTTGTACTTTCATTAAGGTTTTATTATTGTATACCAGGTACAATCTACATATCAGTTAACCTCACTCTTATTATTTTCAGGCACAAATAAAAATGTATTTGCAGGAAAGTGATAGCTTTTTTGCTTACTGGTGTTTCACACATGTGCAAAATTCATCTGGAGAAAAACTTTCTTGCTAATTCTTGAACATTAAAAAGCTTAATTGTTACTCCATTGAATTGTTAATATCATATAAATGAAAACAAATTGATGCGCCACTTTTGGAAATGTTTCTCTCATATATCACATATACTCTCTGATATCATATTCCACCACTGATCCATTTATTCACATTCTAGAACATCAGGTCAATGAACTCCAAGTAAATTGCTTCACATGTGAATGATCTTGATTCCAAACTAGCACAAAGATGATGACCAAGTGATTTTTATACTGCTAATCTATCCCTTCTTCAGTTGTCATTAACAAACTCTGTAGGTCCTAGTTCCACGAACTTAACTGAATTTCTAGAAATATTTTTCTAATGCATCATGAATGAAATGTAGATTTTCTCTTGGGTACAATAGTGCTTTCCATTGGACAAACTTTGTTGAACATTGTACAAACTACACACAACTGACAAGTGATTAGCAGCATTTAATCAAATTTCGATATAGTAGAGCCAAACTGAATTAAACTGCATTGTAAAGATGTTTCATCCTTCTAGTGATGCTAAGGGCTTAGTTATTAAATCTAGGAGGCAACTGAGGAAAATCTTAAGTGATCAAATGAAGTGTCAAAATCTAGATGGAGAGGTGCTTTTGCCCCATAATTCAGTAAATTTGGTAAATATCATATATCTGATAATTTTAGAAGAATGTCAACCTTGACTACGTTACCTGAGAGTAAACTTATATAATATCTGTTCCATTACAGGTGTCGACCAGCTCGACTGAAAGACAAAAATATATCCTACATTCTGGTGTTGTGTCTGATGATAGATGAATATGAATTAGAGCTGACGGTACTGATGAAGGATTTAAAACTCTCTCTGGAAAGGTAGATAACCCTTTAATCACAAGTATAATTGTTCCAATAAGAGGAATTCCTTAGCAAGCATAACAGAGAGGTCATTTATAAAAGTTTAGTCCTAGGTGAAAGGCCATGTCCCTTTACTGAAGTGAATATTGGTAGTTTAACAATGTATTGTAAAATTGGTTTATACTGATCAGTATTAATCAAGTGCACAGATCATGGATTTTTTGTTTGAATTAAACATATCAGCACTTAACAGGATTTTCACTATGAAATAGTTCTGTTTCTTAATGGACTGATCTGTACCAGTGATGTAGATCTATATCTATGTCTGTACATTCAAATTGTTATAGGTTTTCTCACAATTCTGATTAATTGACCTTTTTAATCACAGGATACAGAACCATTTTCGAGCCCTGGGCTGTACACTGACATCCAGAAAGGTTAAGACAGACATGGGACCGTCACTGTCCGTCACCTCTGCTATACTTAACCTGCCCCTCACCTTTCCAGATCCTTCAGCCAGATCAAAGAAGAGAGGACGATAATGTAAAACTAATAATATTAAACATTCTTTAAAAACTATCTGGGTTTTTATTCATTATTTTTGTATGTGTTACAATCTTTACAAGTTGTTGTCCTTTACATACAATAAACATCCCTGCATATGACTCGCATGCTTTAAAATTTGATCTGGAGGTAGTGTGTATTAAAATTGACCAGTGACTTTGCTGCTAACTTTGGAAGGGTTTTCCTGACACTTCAAGTACAAAGAAAGTCCATTGTCTCGAAATTGCCACAGCAAACATCCAGCATGCAATCAACACCTTTCTTTTTTATCTCGCATAGGTCTGGGGTGGGGAAATTTAGGGTGGAGCAGGGGAGTTCACTTCACCATAGCCATGGTAAAGTGAAACAGTACACTTTTTTCTCACTTATTAATTTTTTAGTGTCCCCTCCCCTTGGCCCCACCCCTAATTTTCCCACCCCGGACATGATTTTTGCTATATATTATTTATATGATTGAATCATAGCAATTAAAAAAAACAGGTGAAAAAAGTTAATTAGTAAGAAAATAATATAATGCTTCACTTTACCATGGCCATGGTGAAGCCCTCTGCCCTGCCCTATATTTCCCAACCCTTTATATTTTTTTATCACTTAACATCAAACAGCAGTATTAGTGATACATTGATAAACATACTAAGGGCCTAAAGAGTTGAGACCTAGGAGGTGAATGATATCCCACTTGACATATTCATTCTAGAATTGATTTATGATAATGTACATGAATATATATTAGGGACATTAAAATCGATCGTTTAAAAAATCAAAAAGGTCCCGAGGGCCTGTGATATGACATTTAATGTCGTGTGCGACAAGGTTCACTGTTTCGTCAAAACACTTTCAAAACAATAGTTAACACTATCAGATATTATTTTCAAATTTCATACATGTATCAAAATATTGAAAAATAACAAATACAATTTCAAACTTCAAATTTTCGAGTTTTAAGTGCATTACATAGGTTTTTAGTAATTCTAGGAATCGTCTGTGATGATAGGGACCTGAAGGTTTAGGTGGCGATTGAGAAAAAATAAATAAAAGTGAATGTCATAGTATGGATGAGAAGATACTCAAACTAAAAATAACAGTCATAGATGTCGAATTGATTTTACGTGGATAACTATATGGAAATATATCTTGGGTGACACAAACATGGCGTGTTCAGCCTATATCTATGACTATCTCAGATTTATATCTACACATCAAAGTTGACTCCGATATCAAAACACTGTTAGCCAGTCTACATCTATTTTGTGTTAGCATATCGATTCTGTAATCAAATCCTGTCTCTATGCATCAAAACGAGGACTTGCATAAAAATCGTTCCCTGAATGAGCTTTGCTCTTGCAATAGGGCCGTACTATTTTAACGTTATAAATTAAATGTCCCGTCTCCATTTCACTGTCTTTAGAAAATTATGAAAGACAATTGTTAAGAGATATCAAGACCATGTGAGTTGGTTTGGGAATTGTCAAAACAGTTATGTCTTATAAAGTAGAAAAAATATGTGATACACTGTAAAACCCATTAAATCATGAAAAAAAAACAAGAGGACACTGAATTGTCAACAAAATCTGAATTTTAACGCATGATCGATCAAATGAGTTGAATGATCGAAAGTAAATCCAAGTAAATTCTACACAGAAACATGAGGAATAGAACCATGGTGTTTCAAAAGGTGAATCCATCCTCTGTTTAATTGGCAGAGTAATGGAAGAGGCTTACTCTTACGGATCACCTGGCCATATTCGACTTGCACTTAAGGAGACTCTGTATAAACTTTCTTCTGTTCATATGTTGCCCTAGTTTTGTTAAATGCGGATCATGATCATGTTCATGAGTTGGTCAGTTCTTGTTGTTTTTGCCACTGAACGGGTGACGAGGACAATGTCAATTATGCATTTTTTTTTATTTTTCGATTAATTGACGTCTTGTCATATAATAACAAGACATTATTGAACACGTCGACTGGAGACTATCGAACATAGTGGAGACGCTAACCACGATCCTTACTCACGCTGAACCACTAGGAACATTTTTTTCGGTGAGCGTGATCATTTTCATTTCCTCTGTCTGAATCTTTCCGTTCTTAGTATTAACACATTTGCTTCCCAAACCTAAGGTGATGGCATGACGTAGTATTCGATATTCTAAGACTTGATTCGAATGTTACAGGTTTCGTGATGTAGGTCGATAATCGACGCTAAAAACCTGCAACACATGATTTCAAGAGGTGCTGGCGATGGAGACTATGCAAATGAGGTGTGATCGCCATCATTCTCTGAGCTGCAACACGAAAGTCATGTGTATTACATTTAATGAGGTGTTTCCGATACTTGTCTGTATTTCAACAGTTTTCAGTGTTATCGACCTGGTTCTCAGTTTGAGAACGTGACATGATTGACCTACAATAACATGGCATGCGAAGAGAAACGCTCACTCCTCCTGAGCACCTGGTTTTATTCTCCTTGTGCTTTGTTTCAAGGTGTTTGTTGTAGTTGAAGGCATGTGGCTACGTAGAAAGACACAGTCTGAAGTAGGCACAAATAGACAACTTATTACCGTGAAATCACACAATTTTTGGGACTGAATTTCGTGGTTTTCATAAGACTACTATTTTTCAATCGAACTTGATTTCGTGGATAAGCAGTACATGCATTTACGAAATATAGCTTTACTAAGAATTAAAAAAAAAAAACAAAAAACAAAAAAACAAAAAAAAAATTTGTTCTTCCCGTGCACGGACTAATCGGTTAATTACGATTACACAAGCTAAAATAAACGTACACGAAAACAACAAGAAATACCAACTTGTGAACATGATTATAATCCAACTTCAAATTCGATAAAACTAAGGGAAGATATGAACAAAAGAAAGATTTACATGAAAACATCTGAAAAATGTACAAGGAGCTTAAGGCCAGCAAATGTCTTCTGTCCCCGAAAAAATAGAATCTCCAAACATAATAACATTTACAGTAACCTTAACAACCAGTGTTTTTCACTGGAACCCATAGAATGTTATTCACTGTATAAATAGATGAATTGTTATGAGAAAGGACACTGACTTTTCAATTTCATCCTTTTGTTAATATAGTTTTAGCATGACATTATTATTCCATCTGCAATGCAACATATATCGAGGTCGTTTTTACTGTTAGAAAAATGAATATTCATAAGGGGAGATTAAAAAGGTTAAGCAAAATATTTTATGTATGCCATAACATTCTAAACCACTTAGCAAAACCACACGTGTTTCTTTTTTCTGTGTCTTAGATATACTTTGTAAATATTTCTTTTTTTATGTTTCCGCTAGATGTATTTATTCACCATGGGTAAAGAGCCCGTACAACGTGTATGTGATTTTTTGTTTTATGTTTCTTTGATGTTTTTTTAATATCGAAAAATTAGATATGTATCTCAAGCGATCGTAAGATAAACATCAGTATTAAAATATATTACATATCTCATTTCAGGACATCAAACTTTCTGCCAGTGGTTGTAGGGATAGGACTATTTATTTGGAAAGGATTTTCCTGGTTGTTCAGACGGTTTGGATTTGGTTAACGTATAACAGTAATCAGTCTAGCGTTTGTATTGACGTAAACGTAAGAACGTTTTTTGTCTGAATTTTTGAAAATAGAAAAAAGAAAGATCTATTTTTATATATATATAAAAAAAAAATCCAGATGGAAATGGCAAATTATATGACATTGAACGATGGAAACAGAATTCCTTTGGTAGCCCTAGGAACATCAAGGGTAGGTAACTCTATTATGATTATCGAACAATTGCCTTGGTAAGAAGATTTCACATTTATAATCGCCCTCTTTACTTTCACCAGATTATATTTAGCACTTAGTGCAAGAAAAGTTTTGATGCCTTATACTAATTATCATGTACGGAAATCATTATTATTTTACACTAAAACCTACTTACTTATTGATGAACCCTACATGACCATTGTGTATGTACTATGTTTCACTAGAACTTATTGAAAGAACAATTGTTGTAGCTTAACAGAATAAGTTTTGAAAATGGGAATAAATCTAATGTATTTGATTTTTTTTCTTGGAAATGACTTTTTTTTTTTTTTTTTTTGGTTTATCGGCAATTTTATCAACAGAAGTTATAACGTTTCAAAACAATTATTAAAACTGCTGATCTAAAGTTTCTTCTTCCTTGAAAAGGAAGTGATTTTTTTTGTGTTTGGCATCAGTTAAATCCATATTAACGACTTTGTATATATTTTATTTTAATATACTTTGGTAAGAAATAATTGGATGATTTGAAATTTCTGTAGATTCCAGATGAAAAATTAGAAGGTTGTGTAAAGATAGCCCTAGACATGGGTTACCGACACATAGATACAGCATTCCATTATGGAAACGAGAGGGCTATTGGGAAAGCACTCCGCGAATATATGGAAAACAGCAACCTGAAGAGGGAAGATGTGTACATCACCACAAAAGTATGGTGTTTATCGACTATTTAAGCCTGAATGTTTAATCTATGTTCACCTCATGCAACTTATTGATACTTAAGAAATAATTAGAATAGATCCTGAAAATTTGTATAGTCGGGTAACGATCATCTTTTCAAAAGCAAATAATGGTTTATTTAAAAGAAAAAAGGGATAATGATCATTGAAAAGAAGTATCAATCATTGAATTTATTAAAATGAATACATAGATAGATACAAGATTATATACGATGACGAGCACACTTACGACACATTATCTTGTCAAAGCTGGATTCAAGTTACATGGAAGAGAATGCTGTGGTACCAGCGTTAGACGAAAGTCTGAGGAGATTGGACCTGGAATATGTCGACCTTTTCCTTATTCATGGTCCTTGTGCTTTGCAGGTATTTTGAATACATTTAAAAAATGTCAGTTCTTTAAATGTGACTGGTTTGTATAAGTTAGTTATTGATTGGATGTGGTATATGAAAAAAGATCTATAAATAAATAGAATCAGTAGCACCGATGGATGCTCCCCGAAAATGTTAAAAACTGGGAGAAAAAAAAGCAAGCTTTTATTTGGCTGTGTTTACCTGTGTATCTATTTGATTGAATGTTTGAATCTCAGAAAATGAGTCATTGTTAAAAGGATACGGTGCACAAGTGAAATATACATGATATTTCAATGCACCAATGAATTAAAATTAACTTTTGAAAAGATCACCATATGCTGGTTCATGTATTAATTAATACAAACATTGTATGTCGTTTATTAGACGCTGCATCACTTTCCTGAAAAATCACCTCTTGTCTCGGAATTTATGCCCGTTGATCTGAGGGAAACATGGAAGGTATATATATGGAACCGTAGCAGCTTTAACTTTTTTCTTTAATATATCAGTTATTTTCATGATATATTGTTGATCAGCCATCGTTTCTCGATAAAACCAAAATAGGATGAAGTAAAAATAAAATATTCTCAGATATGTTTCTATGGCTGTAGTTCAGGTAAATCGAAGAAACAAGAAAAGTGTTATGGACCCTATGTGATATCAACTTCACCTAACATGTAACTATTGACGTAGTATCAAAGAAATTGGAGTTCCACATGTCAGATGATCCTAGGGGTTCAAATTATTATTACTTGTATAAGTAACTTAGTAAATATATCAATACCTTTTTAGTAATTCAAAAATCCCGTTTATAGTCATACGTTGTTTATGAAACGTTATATTTCAAAGAATAAATACTTCAAATGTGATGAATAAGGTAAGATTCTAATTGTCAATAACTTCTGCAAAGGGCATGGAAGCGACAGTGCTTAATGGCAAGGCTAGGTCAATCGGTGTATCCAATTTCAATTCCAAACAGTTGGAATACATTTGTGAGACAGCTCGCATTCAACCAGCCGTCAATCAGGTAATGTCAATTCATTTAAATATTTTGAAAACAGGGCATAGTATTTAAACAATGTGGATTTTTTGTTGTTAGATCTCAGGTGTCTTTCTTTGCTTGAATCTATTTAGCCAATAGTTCGATAAAGACACTGATTATCACCATTTATCTAGTCAAAATGAGCCAGTTCAGTTTATTTGATAATTATCATACCTTAATAAACCTACCAGGTAACTTGAAGTTTTCAAATCGGAGTATAAACATTTCTTGTGATTAAAGTACTGGACACTTGCGTTTACTTTTCACCAATTTCAGGTTGAAGTTCACGCCCGATTCCCACAAAAGAAACTGCATGATTTTTGTAAATCTAGAAATATTCAACTCGAAGCGTATTGTCCTTTAGGATCGCCATTTTTCAAAGGATCAGGACTTGTCAAGTAACTATTAGCTAGTCTTTTATTAAAGCAGACTATTGTCATTTAAATATAGAGAAAGGAATCTCTATCATTTTTCTATTGAATATGCGACATTTCTGGTCAACTTTATCAAGATTCATAACTAACCAATTGTTCGGAACTCCACCAATATTTTTTATTCTTTCCGAACAAATATTGAAATTCCGTTCAAGTGATTCCTTAAACGCACGTATGTGAGAGACCTCTTATGAGCTTTAATATCGACAAAATATCTTTCCAGTATCATACACTTGGTCTGCCTTCAGGTTTGATATATCACAACGGTTGTATGATAGTCAAACATTTTTCTAAGGTAGGACTTTTTAAACGGCTGGCCATTGTGAGCAGAATTTAAAAAGTTTGAAGTGCAAATTATATCTATAGTTAATGAAGTTGACAGAAAAAAAATTGACTATTAAAACAATGTTCATCTTATTCAAACCGTTTTAGCGCAATCCAGTCATCTGATAACTTAGTAGAACATCCCGTTATTGCAAAGTTCGCCGCGAAATATAGACGTACACCAGGACAAGTGAGTATTCAAAGTACGATGAGTGATAAGGGAATATCCGGATACATATAAAACCTATATTGTTTTAGTTTATTAGTTATAGTAGTTAATTTTATGCTAAGTGTAATATCTATTATCCTTAGTTTGTATTGATATCATAACAAATCTGTTTTATCAGTCGTGTTTTATAGAGTAAATTGTCGGTCTAATATATGGCTCACATATGTTACCTAAGAGCTCAACACACGTTAGCGTCAAATCATTGCACAAAAGAGAGGTAATACATTTACATACAGATTTAACTATAGATATGTAAAACATCAAATAATGAACTAAACAACACATGGCTGTTTCGTTATTCGGTGACTGTTCATTGATGTTAGGGTCCCAAGAAACTGGGGTACCAGAAAGGGGAAAAAGAGGAAACGTCTTGTTATGTTGCTGATGAACTAGTCCCAAATATTGGTATTCACTTGTGTGTCCTTTGTACAATTCTCTATCTATATACATTGAATATTGTTTGAATGTTGTGATGGATATGACATGAAAAAAGGGAATAAACCCTGAATGTTTCTCTGTTGGAAACTGGATGTTCCTCTCGTATTCGAGAGTAAGGCCTTTATTGCGCAAAATTGAATTTTCAATCATTTGGTGAAACAAGCATCTATTAAAGTCGCGTTGCGTGTACCTTCATTTCCCATACCAATGTTCTCGTACACTGGTACTATTGTATCTCCTCCAAAATATCAAAAACTCGTATTTCGGTCCTATTTTAAATGTCCGTGCTATCATTCTCTACAAGAAAAGCACATTTACTTACTCCGTAATTAGACGTCTGACATAATGTTCTGCTGTAATTTCAGATTCTTCTTCGGAACATTGTTCAAAGAGGCATAGTCGTGATTCCGAAGTCTGAAAATCCGAGAAGGATTAAAGAAAATATACAAGTAAATCATTTTTCGCTTCTTGAATTTTGTATTTTGATGCATTGAAGTTGTAAAACTATTTTCAAAGTACACATTTAACTTTAATCGTGGTGGTTTTGGTCTTGATAATGCTAGTGTAGTTATGTATTATGGAAATTTGATATTATACAAAATCTATTTATTATGTGGCTTCCTGTCCATGGAACTCTGAACTTGTATTGAAAGGTGCTTTCCACTCGTGTGACTGTGATGAAATCAGACACCGATAAACTTATGGCATTGTAACATTAATGGTTGTTTTAAGCCTTTTTAAATATTGCGCTTTAGATTTTCTCATTTTCTCTGAGCGAGGAAGATATGAAAAAGATAGACGAACTTGACAACGGAGTGCGTCGATTCAAGCTTTCATAGTAAGTTATCAATAATCAAAATCCATAATAAAATTATACTAATATTTTTTATGTTTGATGATTTAAACAAGGGACATCTTTTATGGTAGTTCGCTATTGGTGAACAATTGTTTTGTTCTTGTCATAATGCAATAATGCGTGTTAGATACCTATTAAGAACAAATGTGTCTACCTTCCACTCAATAAGTGAGTTTATATATAATGTGAATATAATTGCTATATGTAATCTATGACATTTCATATTGAATATTTAGTTTATAAAATGTGTTCTTATCAATTGCAGCTACGATGGACACCCAGATTATCCCTTCCATACAGACTTTTGAAATATTTGGTTTTATTCCACTTGAAGACGGTTTCTTTTCGAAAAAAGAATTTTGATTGTATCAAAGTAAATAATAAAGAAGTGCAATATTTCGTTCATCAATTCTGAGTGTGGTGTGATGATAATTATCAATGAAATTTTGTTTTCGCTTATTTTTTATTTTATTTTCTTTCTTTTTTTATTTTTACTAAAGATATCAAACAAATTGTCTCTTATGAAGCATTTTTTGGTAAGGTAAGCAGCCACTATAGCGGTTGATAATTTGAGGATAGATGTTGTTCCATTCCTATTTCGAGGCAAATCATTTCTGTTTAAAGACTATCTATGGTGTTCTCTCACGTATTGCCCAAGAAAGTCCCAAATATGCTCAGTTGGTGAAAAAATGCGTTTTACTTCTGATGTTCGCTGGCACATTATCTTGATGGAAAATGCCGCTCACGTGCCAATTAAAGTGCCATTTACCATAAGAAATATAATACGATTATTCCTATAATAGGCAGTTATTCGCAACACACTCCTTTCGTCGCCTCCACTTTCTGCACCTTCCGCCAACGTGTTGCAGATAAGATCGGGATTCATTTGAGATCAGACAGACTGCGGATTCGGGATCCGTTACGGCAATTATTACAGTGACGCCACAAAAAAATTGGCTCAGTGTAGGGACGTCGCGTTGTCGCTTTAACTTGGTGCGAACTGTTTGGACAGATACTACCTCCTTGTCGTTTCTACTGTGGTTATAAGTCGATTGCACAAATGTATCTATCGAAGACGACTGTCGTTTTGAAGCGTCGGCCGTTTTTATGGACGAAATAATTTAAAATCTAAAATAAACTCGACCTCATTCCCCGTCATCTCCCCTCAAACTTTATATTAATGAAGCGAAAAACTAACTTAAGCTAGAAGCCAAGTATTATCCAAGGCTAGATACCTCAAGTCGCAAAATCTAATATCTCGGACCTGGACACAAGACGGACGTATCGTAATACGCAACGCGAATGGCGACAAGTCTCAAGTCACGCGTCTCGATGAACTGTCCGCATATCCCGACCCGCCTCCTAAACGTCCTGGAATACGATCAGTTGTGGACTGGATTCCAGGTTCTCAAGCCACAGGTACTCCTGCACGTGCTAAAAATCCTACCGAACGCCGATAGAAAGTGACAATGATACTATTGACTGTTTATCGATGCATATTACATGGTACGGCTAGGCCTATTCCCGAGTCGTACAGTCGGTATGTATTTACCTTCTACACATGTTGCACATATGTGTTGCGTTAAAGTCAATGTGTGATTCTCCAAACTTAACTTTACAGGTAATTCTTTTTGATTCCTTTCACTTTATGCATATAGTCCCTTGTAGGCCTACATTGTCAGGGGCGTAGCTAGCCCAGCAGAAATGTGTAAGCCCAGGCGAGAGGTTATGAATTTCATGATTTCAAAGATGTTTTGAATCGTTTTCTGAGACAGTTTTTTTTATTTATTTAACAACAAACTTTAAACCCTGATATTTATTTTCAACCTTAGTTTTGTAATTTTGTCCGACATACGGATTTTTTATGTGTAAGTCTGGGCTTTTTCTTTCTATGGAAACTACGCCCCTGATTGCTAGACATGAAAGCGTCCTGTACATCTGTTCTTGTATTTTACCATTACAACTACACATAATATATCACATGATTATTACCATAACACTATTAATTATGTTACATATATATTTTGTCATAATATACATATATGGTGTTGCTCTGACTAACTACATAATATATCAAAATATGAATAGTACTGTGCAATTCAGACTCACATTTTTCTGGTGTATATGCATTGTCTGTTTGTTTTAAACTACATAAGTATAGTAAATAATGAACAGTTCAGTACGTACATGTACACTATATCTCACTGACATTGATCGATATTTGAGTATCATAAGTTTTCTATAGACTATATATCATAGAACTAAATTCAAATATGTGACTGACCATGATAATGTCAATATCCACGTATGTGTACTATGCTGCCTGTATACTATAATTTTGTGTACATCTTCTTTAAAAATATAAGCAGTTTAACCAAATGAGGCTGTTCGAAAAGTCTTGTTTTTTATCATACATTTTTGTACAAATTTATACTAATGTGATATATGTACATTTGTTTGACTATATTTACCTCATATCAAGCCTACCTCTTCCCATATTTACTTATAGCTACCAAGCTAATGTTTTAACGCTGTTTTTTTAAAGCTCTATACTGTAAGCTCATGCACCGAAACCTATCATGACAATATCGCTTTTTCAGCCACACTTGTTTTTATAATAACGCCAGTATTGAATAAAAAACACATACTTGTATTTTCTGAAGTGATACTGCTAGTATCCAAGGTGATGTGCATATCTTAAGATCTGATTTTTTTACTTGAAATAACTGATATGCTTATCGTTGTTATTGTTTACTACTATTATATACTGAATGTGATATTATGTAAATTTTGTAAATCTTACATTTTGTACTCCTCAAGCTGATCCTACCGATTATGGGCAGGTGATTCACTCAAGCGATCCAGGGACTATGCTTTTTTAGGATGTCCCTGTCGTTTGAGTGTTCGCTTTATACATATAATTTCAACCGTTTGACGGGTTGGAATTAGGGTGAAATTATTTTCTCTGTGGTATGAGTCGCCAATAGGGGCGCTATGTGTATGATTTGCACGTGCAAATTAAGACCAGGGTCGTACTGTCGCGTGTTACCTGTACGTGTCATTCAGGCGGCACAGGTAGGGACACACGGACGTGGACATTTTTATTTTGTGCATTGAGAAATGGAAAACGAACAAAGTGTGACATTAAATGATATCCTAAAACAGCTCAAGGAGCAAAAGAATGAATTTAGGGAATACGTTGCTGTAAGACTGTCGAATGTAGAGTCTAGTAAAGATGTTTCCAAGGAAAGGAGAGAAAGCCATTGTATGGAGGCGTGGCTGCAACAAACAGCAATATTCCTTTAATACTGACATTTTGGAAGATTTGAATAAAGTTATGTGGGCTTTATCGGTCGGGAAATTGGAGTATTGTGAGGAGTTAATCACTCAAGCTGTTGGGAAATCAAATAAACGGAACAAATTAATCAAAATTGCGGATTCGTCTGACGCTGGTTGGGACATTGTCAAGGAATATGTAGCAAAACCCATTGGCTAGTGATTCGGATGATGAACGGAAGATTGCACGGGCGGAAGGAAAAGTGGTGAAACGATTGAAGGAGAGACAGAAAAAAGGGATGCATTTCAGAGCAAGCAGCGTAAAAGGTACGGATATAGTGGTCTAAGTCAGCAGCGGGTTCGGCGAGTCAGGTTTATGGAGCTGGTGGTGCTAATGTCCGGTTTGGGGATGGTAATGGTAACCAGCTTTTTCGGGGCCACCAACGCACTTCATATGGGGCAGGGGGTTCACTTCACAATAGCCATGGTAAAGTGAAACAGTACACTTTTTTCTCACTAACTAAATTTTTAGTGTCCTCTCCCCTTGGCCCCACCCTTAATTTCTCCACCCCGGACATGATTTTTGCTATATATTGTTTATATGATTGAATCATAGCAATTAAAAAAACAGATGAAAAAAGTTAATTAGTAAGAAAATGATATAATGCTTCACTTTACCATGGCCATGGTGAAACCCCCTGCCCTGCCCTATATTTCCCCACCACAGACCTATGTTTTGTTATTCATGTGTTTATATGATTAAAACAGGTTGATTAGAAAAAAAATTGAGTGATAAAAGTTAATTAGCAAGACAAAATAATGTAATGTTGGAGTTCCGGTGACGTCACGAAGCATGGCGGACTGACTTTCTTAGCTGGGAGACGAGCTGCTTATTTTTGCCTTAGTTTAGGCTTAGTTAGTATCATGGCTACTTAATTTTCTACCTAAACCTTGCCGGTGAGCGGGCCCTTGATTGGTGACAAGATTTTAGGATCGGTTGTGTTGTCAATGAACGTTTTTGGATGCCATAGTTCTGAACCAATGTTTCGGTGCAAGGCATCACCGTCACCATCTTGGACTCATCGACACAAAGTCGACCGATTTCCCTAATTGCCTGGTCAAATGAGTGGAAGGAGAGTTGGGCGAGGACGTAAAGGTGCTAAGGACGGAGCCAAAGGTAAAGTTGGCCCAGACAAAAACTTAGACGAAGACTTCAATACACGCTCTGTGAACAGTACTGATTTCGAAACCGGTGGCGGTGTTAACATGGCAGGGGACCAGGTCAGCGACTCGGATGAAGTCTCCAACAAAGATCTCAAGGTTATTATTATTGAGATACATCTTAGAAAAGAAATTAATGAACGGAGTGAGAGATCTCAAATGAAATGACTGATGAAACTGTTAAAAATGTAAATACTAGAGTTGACATGCTTGAGAATGAAAGACTGACAGAACGCATCAGGCAGCTCGAAAAAGAAAGACTATATCAGGAAGGAAGGTCCCGAAAATACAATCTATTGCTCTATGGAGTCAAGCAGGAGAAAGACGAAGACATTTATGAAGTACTTAAAATGTTTTGCGGACCGAGCTTGAGGTTGAAATGGACTCTCTCCTCATCGCCAACGCGCATCGCCTGCCGAGACGACGAAACTTTTCACACGAGGTCGCGAAGGGTCCGGACCCTATTATCGTCAAATTCGTTCGCTTACGTGACAGAGACAGGTTATACCAGGTCATATTTACCAAGAAGAACAAAACATTTGTAATCAGAACAGATCTCCCGGAACCCTTGAAAAAGAAACGCGGGGAACTCTCAAGAAAGGTCTTTATTATCAGAAAAGGACAAGGTCTCCAGACCAGAATAAGGGAGTCCAACACGGATGTTTTGATACAAGTCAGGAAAAACAAGAACAGTTTTTGGAGAAACTTCTCAGGCAGAGACTAAATAAGTTCTGCTGTAGACTAATAGGGGCATGGAACTGTTGTTTAGTTAGTTGTTTACTTTTTTCGCAGTTAATTAAATGTTCATATG